AAAGGAGACAACTTCTAGAAGATTCATTGAATGGAGACACATTTTGAAGAGACACCAAGGCAACCCTTGAATTTTTATTAAAGAAGACTTGGATCATCAAAGGAAAGGGGCCAACCAATCATCATCCATCCATCCAAAGTAACCGTCGCCGCCGCCGACCACCTTTTATTTTTATTTTTATTTTTATTTTGAGTTTTAGTTTGTATTGTGAGTGAAAGGAAGAGAATTTGAAGGAACTTCAAGACATTGGGTGGAGAGGATTTGAGATAAGTGTTTATCTTTGTGACTATATTTGGTTTTCATTTAGACTTCTTGTTTGTATGCATGATTTCTACTTTTAAACTCAAGTGTGGGTGTGTTTTCTCAATGAATTTTGAGTAGTTTTCTTTATCTTTTTTCCTTAAAATAATAAGTGATTAAGTATTCAAAGGAAGTTGTGTGAAGTATTAGACTTTAATGTTGGAAGAAGTTGTGATGATTTTAAACTTTGTACTTTATTTACTTCTTGACTTGACCAATTAGTTGGCCTTTAAAAGAGAAGCATAATAATAAGTTAAGTGTTGCCGTGATGAGAATGATAAGGTGGAGGAGTGGCTTTACACTTAGAGACAAAATGCGGAATGAATATATTCGTGATAGGGTTGGTGTAGCTCCTGTGACAGACAAAATTAGAGAAAGTCGTCTTAGATGGTTTGGTCATATTAAACGTCGACCATTAGATGATCCGATTAGGAGAGTAGATGTTTTAAATTTATTGTATTAAAAATGATCTTAATTTACTAGAACTAAATGAAAATATGACACTAAATAGGACGCAATGGAGAAAAAGGATTCATGTAGCCGACCCCACGTAGTGGGATTAAGGCTTTGTTGTTGTTGTTGTTGTTGTTGTTGTTGACTTGACCAATTAAGATATTAATATATGTTGTGAGAACATGTAAGATCCGAGATGGTATTGTCTCAGTTAACAAATGGTAAGAATCACATTTAATTTCATGGATGAGAATATAGTTTATGGAGTTGAGTGCAAATAAATAAGAAAATAAACTTCGAATGATGTAGAATTAGAGGACTTTAGAGTGATAGACTAAAGACCCCAATTTGATTTATAGTTTTAGGTTCTGATACGAGTTGTTAGCCCCCAGGTGGAGGGAGAAAATGAAACTCTAGAGTGAGAGCTAATATCTTCCCTACCTAACCCGTCTTCAAAACTATTCAAACTATATATTAGCCGATGTTCTTTATAGCATCTCTAGTAAGGGTAAAGAATATTATTGCTCTTATTTGACACAACACAATTAAAATACTTTCACGGCGGAATTCTTATACTTGTTACTGATTCATGATAAGAAAAAATATATTTTATTTATATTGTGTTCATCTTGCAAGTATTTAGTTAAGTTAATTAGTTTTACTTTATTTTCAATTATAAAAAATTACAAAAAATTATCAAAATTTCATTACTATTATAGCATCTAGAGTTTAAGTAGGAAGTCTAGAGTTTAAGTAATAGAGTTTAAGTAAGAATACTTTGCTAAGTAAAATTTTATTATCTAATTTTCTTTATTTTGTAAAGTTGCATATTATTAGTTATCCCTATGAGTTCGATATTCGGGGCTTAATAAAAAATTTTTATATTACTTGATAACGATACGTATACTTGCGTAGTATCTTATATTTAAATATTATAACTATATTTTTATTTGATTCATAGTGAAAAATTTACCTAACTTTTGCTTATAAAGTATTTGGCTTTGTTACAAAATGAGAATATTCATTAAGTAAATTAAGCATATAATCGCATACATCACATTTTACATCTATCTAAACATCGGGATCAGGAACCCGCAAGGGCAGCATCATACGATCTGTCCAAAGCCATCACCAATAGAAGGAGGCGCGACGTAAGAAACAGTGAAGGTCAGTGAAGGAAAGAGCAAATGTCGAACGAAATTCGCGAGAAACCCTTCAGAAAGAGACACACGAAGCACGACGCGAAAGGTTGGTCGAAATCGAGCAGTCGCATCCGATCGAGAATCTGTGGGAAAACCCTTCAGAGAGAGTCGCACGAAGCACGACGCGAAAGGAGACACTGCGATTGGTCCAGATCGAGCAACCGCGTTCGATTTGGCCTTCTGCAAGCACGAGACGCCGCATAAGCCAAGCCGACTCAACTTGAAACCTACCCACAGGAAAGAGCTGACGCGTCGGAATGAAGACGAAAATGACGAAAGTGACGCACGACAGAGAAAAGCAAAGGAGGAGAAACCAGGGTTCGCCATAGAGGCGAAACCCTAGCAGAGTGTGAGCGACGACCGCGCCATCTTCACACATATATATAAAATATGTGTATATATACATACATATATATATATATATACATACATATATATATATACATACAT